GTAATGGGAAAATTCAGGACCAGACAAAGGGGGGGAGGGAGAGAGAGAGAGAGAGAGTTGCTGCTGCTTTGAAATACTTGATATCTAAGAGGCACTTGGATACCTGTCGTGCTGAAAATCAGCCCCATAAAAGCACGTGGCCGTGTCAGGCTGAAAGGGACCTCCAGAGATCATGAAGTCCAGCCCCCCTGCACTGAGGCAGGACAAAGCAAACCTAGACCATCATTGACAGGCGTTTGTCCAACCTGTCCTTAAAACCTCCAGTGATGGGGATAACACAAACCTCCCTCGGTAACCTGCTCCAGTGCTTAACCAGCCTTATAGTTAGAAGTTTTTCCTAATGTCCAATCTCAATCTAAATAAGGATATTGGATTCTGCCCTCCTTTGTAAAGTGCCTTGAGTTTTACCGCTGCAAAGCGCTATGTAAGAGCGAGGGGTTAGTATTCGTTTCCTGAGGTTTTGTGGGCTGTGACAGAGTCACTGCCGTCCTAACAGGAAGCCAGAGGCCGGCACTAACGCCTGTGGAAATACTTTCACGCAGCTCTTTTGCTGCACAGAGAGACCAAACCGAAGCTTCACTGAGCAGCGGGACCATGCTCACAGCTCCACCCCTGGAGTCCAGCTGCAGGTGTGCTTGTCCCCTCCCCTCCAACAGCTGGTTCAGAACTAGCTGACACTCCCCTGGAATCTGCAGCTTGAGCTGGGCTCACATCCAGGCCTTGGGGAAGTGCAGACAGGGGAGACGGTGGCTGCTATGGGCTGAGCAGAGAGATGGAGTGTTGCTGTACAGCATCTGTATTTACTTCCAGGCTGACTTTACTCTCAAGTCACCTTTCAGCTTTCCATTGGCTCCACCAGAAGGTTGAGTTGTTCCCTCCCTCCCCCCAGCTGCCAATTCAGCCCTGGAGGAAGATGCAAGATTGAGGGCCCTGACAGCTGTAGTCCTGGATGCATCCACAGAGCAGAACCAGCAGGGGTCTTAGCAGGGCAAACCTCGCCCCCAAGCCATCCCACCTTGAGCTGGAGGATTCGCTTTGAAGGGGTGAAATGTTGGTTCAGCCTCAGTGGCACCTGCTAGCTGCAGTATTGCCATCTCCAGGCATTCAAAAACCCTCAGACTCCTTTAAAAATAATTGTAATCATACATGCATTTAGGGTTCTTTTTAGTTGCCTTCTGGTTCTGAACCATCTGGGCTACATTCGGGTCACTTTTCAAGCTTATCTCAACCATGTGTGCCAGAAATTCCCCTTTTTAATGAAAGCTGAGATTCTCAGTTTATCACTTGCCTCCAGGAGCTGGGGTTTTAAGAGAAAGGCAGAATAATTTGAGACTTGCAATACAATTGCAAGAGTTGGCAATGCTGCCCAGAGCCCTATTCCCACTGTGACGCAGGTTCAAGCCCTGTCATGCTGCAGTGTGGATGCAGCTCAAGCCACAGACCCAAGTCAGCAGGTCTGTATAGTGCACACCCAGGGCTGGCAATTGTAAACTCAGGTTTACAATGCGGTGTAGACACTCAAGCGCGGGCTTGGAAACATTGAGTCCACAAGCCTGGGTCCCACAGCGCCAGGCTTAACATGCAGGGTAGACATACCCGGACATGCCTCTATCTGGATGTGGGTACCTAGCTTTAACCTCTGCCTCTCATTTTCGGCATCTGTTAACCATAGAAGGGTTTATGTTAACTTAATGTTTGCAATACACTGTGTGAGCGTCAGATGAAAGCTGTTCTATAAGTGCAAAGTATTAAAGCTCAATAACATATTGAGACATCAGCCATCTCAAATATCTAATTACTAGGAAATTAACTTAGGCCTGTTGTCTCACAGGGCCGATGTCTCAATATATTATGGTCAATGCTATGGATGAAACTAAAATAATCGCTGATGCTGTATTTGGGCATTAAGGTTCTAGTGTTATGGTTCTAAATATGAACAGAAAAGCAGATTAAACGGTGGTAAACAGTATAAGCTGGTACCAGGCTGTGTCACTCAGAAGAGTTTCTCTTGTATTTTTCAGCTTCGGGAGCGGAGGGCAAAGCTAAACCACACTCACAAAATCACCAGTCACTGAACGAATATATCAGCAAAGCTGTGTTCAGACACTGACACTCAGCTGTAGTAATATGGGAGGTTAAAATATCCAGCAGTGCCTCTGCTTACACCCGCAGGAGACAATTTGATTTCTTGATGTGGACATCTACAGAGAGAAATCCTCTCCTTACACTCAGGGCTTGTCTACTGGGGGAAACTGACCAGCAGGACCATACCAGTAAAATATTCGGGGGGAGTGTTGATTAAAATGAAGCTTACAACAGATCTCCAAGCAAATCCCTTTAATCTCGCTATTAAATAAAGCATCTTCTATGAGGAAGTCAAATGTTCATTTTTTTAATCTCTAAGAGGAACAATGAGACACTCCATTTTCAACCATAGGGAGCACAGGTTCTATTCCAGGCCTTACTCCTGACTCATG